CAACCTGCCTTGCCACAACCTGCCCATCATTGTCTTGTCATGCCCTGCATTTTCTTGCCACACTCTATATTGTCTTGCCACAAGCTGCATTGTCTTATCATGCCTGGCATTGTCTTGCTATGCCCTACATTGTCTTGTCACGCCCTGCATTGCCCCACCCCCCTGCATTGTCTTGTCATGTGCTGCCTTGCGCCACCCCAGACTCCAAATGAAGAAGAGAAAAAGGAAAAGGAGTAAAACTGTCATTCTCATTGCATAATAATAAGTTCTTAAATAAAAATGTATCTGCAGATGCATAACAGATTGGATGTGTTCAGCATCATAGCGTCAAGATACAAACAAAGCTTTCTTCTCCTCAGACAGGCTTTCCCTTGATCTGGGGGGGCTCAACTGGATTTATCTGTTAACAATTTGTCTATATTTAGATTTATTTATCCATATTTAGTCATAGATATTGATACATTTTTATATCCGTGTTTGTCTATATTGTCTGAAGACAATAATGGATATCAAAGACTTTTCTAAAAAGGAAAAGTGTGTGATTATTCTTTAGTGTTTACCAGTAAAATTTAAGCCTATGCAGTTGAGGGTAAAACATCAGTAGAATATAATCATATAACAGCCCAGGCTGGAAGGAACAGCCAAAGATCATCTCGTCCAACCTTTTGTGGGAATATTTTGAAATCAACTGCTATACTTACCATTTCCCTTCAGAGCCATAATCCATTTTTGTAAGGCTAGCAGACACCTCTGCAGATCATCTAATCCAAACCCTAGCTCAAGGAGGGTTAAGTAGAGTAGGTTGCTTGCGGCCATGTCTAGTCTAGTTTTAAATATCTAAATGTGGACTCCACAAGCTTCCTAAGCAACCTGTTCCAGTGTTTAACCACCTTCACAATAATAAACTTTTCTCACATTCAAATGGAATTTGACCAATAGCTTCTTGGATACAACTGAGAAGAATAATGTGTATGGACATACATTGTCACCCACAATGAGAAGTTCATTGGTGTATTATTGAGAATTATTTTTAGTCAGCTGTTCTCTGGCATGGACATCCTAGATACATATTTTATTGTAATATAAGTAATCAGAACGAACCTGACAATCTGGAACATACTGTGAGGAACTGGACACCAGCTCATTTGGTCCTTCTTCTTGATGAAACTTAGAAACAAAAGTCCAAATCAGGTTTTAGATGGCTATAGCTGAAGAACGATTGTACAATAGAAAATGAATTTTCTAGATCAAATACAATTAAAATAATAAGGTAAAGCTAAAGAATTTACTATGACCAAATACTACAGTATAGCTACATCTCTAAATATAGAATGCATACATATAATTTGAGAAAAAAATTGTATCGCAGTGTTCAAGTATCTGTTTAATATGTGAATTCCCCAATAGAGACTTTTTAAGATGACACATTTAATGACTTACTGTGTATAATGGTAAACGGACAAAAAATTATATTCAGATGCCTCAGATATGTGACCTCAATCTTTAGGCTGGAATCCAAGTAACTGGCCAGTTTGTCAGTTATTTATCATCTATGAAACTGAGGTTAGTAGGCAAAATACTTGAAAATGTTGAACTGGTTCTTCCTGAACCAGTTATAATATTTCTTACAGGTATGTGGGTATTCTGAAGCTTAACATTTGCAACATGCTTTGAGTATTTAGAAACAAAAGCTGTGGATGAAAACAGTAGTCCAAAACTTTTGTTGACTTAATCTGAGATACAAGTTCCTTTTATTTGCATGAATATTCTGATGTTTTGCTTTTGAACATGATATGGGAATCCTAAGGCAAACACCTAAAAGAGGGGTTTGCTCTATCCAGAAGATAGAGACAGATAGGCGGTTATGGGCAGGAGGACTGAAGCTGCCATTGTGATGTTTGTACATGATTGTACAAGAATCAAAGTCATGGCCTGAGCTCTGCATCATGAGCATCTACACACACATAAACTACTCTGTTAGTGCTCCATGAGGCTTCTCAGAAATGTCAACTCTGATTTTGTGCCTCAGGCACCAAACTCTTTACTGACTGAACTGATACACATTTCTTTTCCAACTGGGAGCTGAAAGTTTTAAATTCTGTAGTTATATTCATTCTTTTTTTTTTGATGAGACCATTATTTGCAGAACACTTTTCAGACGCTCATTCTTGTGAAGCAATCTCATCCGAGAAACAGATTTTTCCTCAGCGTAGAGTGATAAACCTTCCCTGTATCTCCACTGCAGCCAGTTTTACCAATTATGTAATTAAATTCTTTTAATATTATTATTTTAACGCAGGTAACATAAAAGTGCATTATACATCTGTTAAAAAGTTTGTGGTATATTACATTGAAACAAACATTGAATTTCCTGTCCACAGCTGCAACATCAAGCAATTATGTCATGCTTTTATCTTCTATTAGCAGGAAATACTAAATTCACCTAGTATAAAATACTGATGTTAGGGGTAAAATTCCTGTTGTCTTTCAGGTGAAAAATTTCACTTTAACATAACACTTTACATAACTGTAGCATTTTAATACTCAATTTTGTAAATTTCTATATATGTTATTTAAAAATTCCATGTAGAATGTCAGTCATTTTGAATATAATATCTCTTAAATAAGTAGTTCACTGAGGAAAATGGCACTCAAATTCTGTATCTGGAATCAAATCATCCACACTAAATGAAAACCTCTTGCTCTTGCAATACTCAGAAATATTTTTAATACATGGGAAGACTCTTCTTTAACCTTCTCCTTTATCTTAATGTCTTTTGTTACAAATAAGATTAAATTAGGAAGTAATAAATGAAAGGCCGTTAACTTAAATACTAAGATAAACATTATCTACCATCATTTATTGAGTCCAGTAGGACTGCTAAACGTAGCACAAGCTGGGAAGAGCAGCTGGTGCCTACTGCCTTAGTCAAGATCTTAAGAACTCTGACCTTAGTAGACTTGATTGCAATGTTGTGAGGACTGTAAATTGATACTATGCCCTTAGGCAGAAAAGAGTGGGGATCCTGAAGAGTAACCAAAACCTCAGAATAACATTGCTTTTTGGATTAGACAGAACACTGCATATATTGAGTTGAAGGTCTGCATGAAGAAGAAAAAGAAATTACTAAAAGAAAATGCAGAGTAACTAACTTAGCTATTTTCTGAATGCATGAGGCCATCATGTGGCAAATTAATGACATGGCCACAGAAGATAAAAATCATTGATTAGTAATATTTGGGATAATGAAGAAAATATACACCTTCCATCATGAACTCAAAGGAAACTAGTGTGAAAGTTCAGACACAGAAATTTCTCCTAGCATTTCATTTTTTCACGAGTAATTCTAGAGAAATTGTGGAGGATATTTTAGAAATTCTTTATCAGTGAAAGTTTGTTCACTGCATTCAAAAAATTATTAATGCATTTGTCAAGCAAATGAATGATATAATTTCTACCCATGGACACTTAAAGCAAATCTATTACAATTCATTAGAAATTGTGTCATCAAAAATTACAAAGTCTAGTTTTAAAAATAAAAGACTAAAATTCAGAATTAAGTAAAAAAATCTGCCTGAGTATGTTCTCACTTAAATCCTCAGACTATGATGTTAAAGAATATCTATTCCAATCTTGCAATTGCAAGTATAACTTATCTGTATTATGGTGCACACTAATAGCCTTACTCATGGACAAGAACCTGATTGTATCAAGTAATACATAAATAGGAAACAAACAAATTTGTTAGTCAAATTGTTTTTCCATCTAAGACAGGAACAAAAAAAAAAAAACAGGTAAGTGATTCAAGAGGAATACAATGAGATTGCATCAGTCAACATTCTGGAGAGTAGTTTTAGTACGTTGATGAACCTAAGTGCCTATCAGTTAGGCTGTGTGTGTATAAATACATTTTGATAGGACAGATCATATACATAAATCTCAGGGAATCAGAAATTGCTGTGACAGGAGTGTGGAAGACTGATTAATCAGGCCAGTTTTAAACTCAAAACCAAAACTTTACTGCATAGATATTCATTAACAATATACATTACTAATGGCTAGTTCTCTAATAATTATTAATCACTATTAGTACATATTCAAAGCAGTTAGTCATCCTAAATTAGCAGCTAATATACAATACTGCAGAGCTGATGATATGTAATGAGCACCTATGGTTACAGTCCTGGAGAGTCTTAAGTCATCAGGGAGATCAGGTTCAAGAGGTCTTCAGTGAAGGAAGCTAACTTTGAAAAGGATGCCTTCCTTCCCCCTCCTCTTAGACAAATTCAAGATTTTCACCTTTTATAAAATTCTGTAGTTTTTAGAGGGTTCTTAGCCCTTGACCTCTGAACCCTAGGACATTGCAGATACTAGTTTCATAGGCTGCAACAGGTGCCTTGCCTTGCCCACCAGTTGTAGCTTGTTTTCTTAGCTGTTCCTTCTTTTCTGTGTTAAAGCAGTCTTTTCCCAGCTTTTAAGGTTTCACCTCTTGCATGACCAGTAACTGACCATCCATGAGGTAATAGTTTTAGAACCTTTGTTTTCAGCCTGCATCCACATGACCTTTGCTGTCATCCCAGGCTAAAACTCCACATCATAACAAAAGACATCTGGCATCAACCTCCAGCTGATCTGCAAGTTCTTGTAACAAGTTGATAACAAGCCTTGCACAGGTTGAGGTTTGTTCCTGGCATCAGCAAAACTAATTTTACTGAGCATGAAAATATTTACAGGTTGTTTACCAGACATGCCTGACGAGTACAATTTTGACAGAGTTCAAAGCAAGCTAATATTCGTTACATCTGGCTTAGCATGCTTCTACTTTTATGAGTGCAATAGGCTTCTGTGTTGGTCACATAGTAGAGTGGTTTGAATAATGAAAAATAGTAATGATAAAATGGTACATATTTACTTAGTATTTCTTGGTTTTGTAGGACTTATGAAAAGAAGGAGGAAAACCAAAAGTATCAAGACTGTCTATTGATACTGAAATAATTACAGTAACAAAAATAGCAGTATTGAAATAATTACAGTGACAATTTAGAGATAACTACTGCTTTTAATTTACATGTTGCATGACCCACTTTGAGCATTGACCAGAGAGTAGTAGCTGCCTTTTAAAGCCAGGAGCTGCTGATGGGTCCCTTGCTCTACAACCTTGCCATTCTGGACTACAGCAATCTTGTCAGCGTTTTGGATGGTGGAGAGTCGGTGAGCTATCACGATGCAGGTGCGACCTTCTCTGGCTTTATCCAGCGCTTCCTGGACAATCTGCGCAATGAACAAACCACAAGGTGAACTATCCTGGCAGCTGTAATGAGATATACCTCAATTGCCATCCATGAAGTAAACTGTAATATGACAATGAGGGAAAGGCAATATCTGTGGTTTAGCTTCCTATTTTAGAATTGGTGTGTGCTGGCAAAGAGTCAACTGTCATAGTGGGTGATGCCACGATAGCTAAGAGGATGAGGTAGAACCAGGCTCATTACTGAGATGCATGGTAGGAGAACAAGAGAAAATTGTTAAAAACTGTAACAGGGGAGGTTCTGAAAAACGTTCACCACAAGGATAATTAAGCATTGGAACAGGGACAAAAGAGACTGTTGAATCTCCCCATATATGTTCAAGGACCCTACTGGGCACAGCACTGACCAACCTTGATTGAATTTAGTATTGGCACTTGTTCGAAGAGAAGGTTTAATTAGAGACCTCCACAGGTCCCTTCATGACTGATTAATTATATATGGGAGTTAAGTCAGTAATCTTGGGTCAACTATTATCATATTAGTTCTCATGATTTCACAGGGAGTCTCATGAATCATGTTTTTATTAAAGCTAGCACTGGCAGAAAAATACTAGTAAGAATCTCCACTTTCTTTTCTTTATTCCTTATATTTATTAATGCAGAATAAAATATGAGATTAAATTTCTGTATCTAGCTGGTACATAATTAAGAAAACAAAGAAGTCTGGAATTGTTTAATGGCATTTTCCCCTAAAACTTCATGGTTTTATGCCTAGGTTTGGTCAGAACTTAGTCCATAAGGTTTGAGATTTCCATAAGGTTTGAGATTTTCATATAATAGTATTTTTTATAATATTTGCCTCATAAATTGTAATTACTTTTGTAGAATCTGTTAATTTTCTACAGCTAGCCTGTAATTCTGTTACATGATCATGGATATGTTACAAGATTATGGCTTTGGGCTTAAAAAAGGAAGAAATGTTCTAGCAATTTTTTCACTGGAAGTTTTCATATTAGCCATGAATATATAACAAGGACTAGAGAGCAATGGGAGAAGCAAGAAAAATTATGAAAGCAAGATTTGGCAGTTTCCTAGAAAAAAATTCTCTGGCAGCATCCTCAGTCTTCTCAGCTTCTGAAGTTTGAGACTTCTGATTCAATTTTGATAGCACTTTCCAATTGAAGCCTGAAGAATTCCAGGCAAAGAAATGCTTTTTTCATTGCTACTTCAACCTGCTTACTGCCACACAGATGCAAAAAAAAAAAATGCAGGTTATTTTTTGGCAAGGAGGAGTAAAACCTTTATATTTGTCTATTAATTATTCGCATAAATATGTAATTTATATAAACCACCATATTTCCAGCTTTGGGCTTTAATATGTGGGAGTAAAAACAATAATCTTAATACAAAGCTAGATTTAAATTCTGGACTCTTGGTTCAAGTTACCTTTTCACTTTCTGTATCTAAGGCAGATGTAGCTTCATCCAGTAGCAGAATTTGGGGCTGACGTACAAGAGCTCGGGCTATAGCAATACGTTGTTTCTGGCCACCAGAAAGCTGAGTTCCTTTGTCTCCTACGCGGGTATTGTATTTCTAAAAACAATATATTAAGTTCATACTATGAATGCAAATCAATTCTGAAGCATATATTTAAGCATATGGACCCTGACATCACAAAATGCATATGCCATGCCAACAGCTCTCTGAAAACAGACGACCAGCGTTGCTATCTGCCACAGATCTACAGTTCTTTCACTAGAAGACTTCTTTGTAGCATCAAGCATTTTACAAATTCAAAGTAAAAAACCCTGTAAAGTTGGAAGACAACATAATTCTCAACCAGGAGATAAAACACCAAAGCTCAGTGATAGTCTATGACAATACTGGGGATCGAACCCTGAGTTTAAACACTCCAAGCTAGCATTCTAACCAGTCAGTTATTCTAACCAACATTTATTCACCCTGAAGAAAAAAATAGCTACGTATAAGATGTATCAGTTTCAGGCCAAATTCTATACTACATATAGACATAGACATGTCTTTGTTTAGACATGTCTAAACACTTTGTTTGCATCTATTCTACAGCTTCGGACATTTAGTTATGCCAGTTAAGGAGGACCTGTCATGCCTCTGGACAAAGTCATGTGTAGGTCACAGTAGTCTTTGAGGTATTACATATTAGGTTGCAAAAAGCATCGAAGTTTCATGAGACATTATTATATAACAGAAGATTTACCTACAAAGTGTTGGAAAGAGCAGATCCTGATAAATCATTAGAAACCAAACATGACCTGAAAAAATCATGGGTTTTTTTTTTTTGAAGAAATGCAAAAAGCAGCTTAAGAGCCTGAAATTAAGCTGAATATATACAACATACAACTAAGCTGGCAAATTCCTTGCTTCAGAAGTTCAGAAGGTTTGGATACAAGTTGACACAGGTTAGAAATTGATTTAATAAACCCACAGAAGAAAAATTCACTCAGAACTAAATAATAAAATATTATTTCTACCTTAGGAAGTTCTTGAGTCACAAATTATGCAAGTAAGATGAGACTTAAGGGGGAATGTGACTAAATGTTTAGACTTTTTGAATACTTACTCTTAAATATGTCTTGCTGTTCACTGCCAAGATTTTTTGTATGGCAGACTTTTCAGCTGACCCAAGATATTAATTCTTACATTATTATGTGTTGGTCAGATATATATGAGAAAAACTTTCTTAGTATTTTTTTTAACTGTAGGAATACTAGAAATATAAATTCTGACTATGTGTAACTGGAAAAAAAGTGTAAGATAATTGTCAGTCTAGCAGAGTCTTTTACATGTGCTTGAGATAAATAGGAGCTTAAAAAGAAATGTTCAACTCTTAAAAAACCCATCCCACACTTCCAGCTCTCAATTAGTTGTAATCGTGGATTTTTTTCCCCTGACACGTTAAATGTTCAGATCTCCACCTGACAATGGATTCTCCCAGCACAAAAATAAGTATGGTAAACACAATTCAGAAAGGATAAGATTTAAAAGTCAGTTTCAGATCTATTTGCATCTCAGGGAATGATTATATTCCAGGGAATCATAAATGGACACTTTTAACCTGCCACAGTAGATCACCTCCGGTTCTGAGTAGGAGAGAAAAGGAATAACTTACATCTGGCAGAGAGTCAATGAAGGAATGAATATTGGCTTCTTTTGCTGCATTAACAATTTCCTCATGTGACACCTGCCGACTGTTGTCTCCATATGCGATGTTTTCACCAATAGTGCAGTCAAACAGGATTGGCTCTTGTGAGACAATACCAATCTGAGCTCTCAGCCACTTGATATTTAGGTCCTTTGCATTTTTGCCATCAAAAAGCTGAGAAACCAAACATTTTAAATTTCGGTCACATGGCTATATGCGTATTTGAGATTTACTGTAAATTCATACACAGAAGTTGTGCAATTGCAGCTCTTTCCTTAGAGATACCATTTTGAAAGCTCACATAGTGCCTTCCCCTCCTTCTCTATGTTCCAAAATTTTCTAAAGCCTATCATATAGAAGTGAGGATAGCCCCTTCTGCTGCTTCAGGCCTTTTCTTTGCTTCAAGATCTAATGAGGATTTTGAAGACAGTGGAAGATAGGATATGCTGAGACAACATCAGATAACTTTGGGTAAAGTTCTGTCATTTATTTCTTCAGCATGAAAACTTTCCTCTATCTCGCATATATATATTCCCACTGAAGGAACAGATTGGCAGCAGTATTCCATTTAAATAAAGGAAGAACTGGGTTTATTCATTCACACACTTGAAAGCCAAGCATCCATTCTTAAATTTAATTGTGATGTAATGCCTGACAATGGACAAATTTACTTCTGGGTTCCTTATGATGTCATTTGCAGCCAGTTTTCTTTATTGGCATCTCTGTCACACTTCTGAAAATTTGGCTACTGAGTTGCCATCTCATAGATAAATGACAATAGAATTTTTTTCTGGATAGATCAGTTTCATGATTATAAAAGTCATATCAACTCAGACACAAATATACCAGGTCATCAAGAGGGCTGTTACATACCCACTAGAATTGCCCAGTGCAGTGCTCAGGCTCTGTGACATGATCAGCTGGATAATTGAAGAGCTGCTCTCTTCATAGCATGGCTACTGGACATGATTAATCTACTAATTACAGTTTGTGCTAGAACAGCCAATTCACAGCCAATATAATTGTTTTTCAAAGGAAGGAGATCATAAGAATCTGATTCAAAACCCACTGGAATGAGTAGCAGCATTTCTACGTATGTGAATGTAAAGGCAGGGGGGAAAGTCAGAAGGGTGAAATTGCTTTCAACTACATTGGTATTTGCCATCTTTTTTCCTTACAATTCCATTGGATTTGCAGGTTGCTAAGGTCTGCTCCCTGTTCTTCATTTGATGTGAAAAATCACTGATGAAACTAAAGAACTCAGTTATGCATTTTGGATGCACCATACCAAACTTCTAAGCATTGTTACTCTCTTTTCCAGACTATCACAGTGCCCACTGTTGTGAACAGCCGCTTTTTTGAGAGTTAGTTCTTGTAAGCATACACTCCTTTCACTCAGTTCACAGCGCAACTCAGCATGTGAATCAGCCCACTGCCTGTGTGGTTTCTATGCCAGCTGTCTGTATTTTTCCCTTCAGTAAACCATTGTTGGTTATTTATGGACACGAGGTCAAAACCATCAAGTCATGAAGTTGCACTTAGTTTAAACATATTTTTAAGGCACCTATGCTGCTTCTTTCTACACATCAGTTTGCTACACTGGACCTGTTTGGACATTTCCAAACTCAAAAAGATCTTGCCCATGGCATCTAGGCCTTATTTAAGTATTGTTTTACCTTTTGTGAGCATCTCTGCAAAGTCAACTTCTGAAATTCTTCTTATTCTCACCTCACCCAACCCAAAATATATGGGTTCTTTTTCAAACAAAATCTCTGAGCACATTTATGTCAAAGAGAAAATAGCAATAAACAATACTGTTATGTGAAAAAATATGTGAAGTTGCTGAACAAGTAGCATGGGAACACCTAGATGTATTTTAAACCAGAATTACTAAGGTATTCATAATCTATAACTTGGTAGGTAGGCATACTCTGAAAGATGTTTCTGACAACTAAAAATTCTGATAAAAAAATTTTTTGTCAATATTCACTGTTTTAGGAAAGAAAAGATGGCAAATTCTATTATTGCATTATACAGATATATATACACATATATTTAATAACTACTAAAGTGTTCTTAACATAAAAACCTCAGGAAATCTGCTCTGAATCCAAAGCCATCATTAGGCTGAGGATCAGGCATATTTTTACCATGCAGATCTTGTTTCATTAATTCATTATAATGTGAGAAACAGGGCCTTTTCCCATTATATTATTCATCACATTTAAATAAAGAGCTCTAGTAAGCCACTGTTTGTCTTTAAAATTAAAAATATGTTAAAAATAAAACTAGGCATATCTATTATACTTTATCACATCAAGCCACATAAGCACACCCTCACTTAACATGTTGACATGTTCTTACAAATATACTTACCATTTCTCCACCAAGTGGATCATAAAATCTCTCAAGCAGCTGAATAACAGTGCTCTTTCCACAGCCACTGCTACCAACAAGAGCCAGAGTTTGTCCCTTTTCTACTTTTAGATTCAAACCTTGAAGGATTTTGACACCTGGTCTGTTTGGGTAGTTAAATGCCACATCTTTGATCATTATGCTTCCTCCAAATGTTTCCTACAATTGAAATAATGCCACTGTTACATCTTTAAGACAATTTGACAGGGGATTCAAATAGAATTGCAGAAGTCTTTTCCTCCCTCCCCCCGGCTCACTGAAATCAACAGTTTTTTATTTTTTGGAATGCTGACTTTGACCCGGTGGTCTGAATCTTTATGAAGCTATAAAATCCAAGTACAGCACTGAACTACTTTGAAAATGTTCATGATTCTGCTAGTTGGATTCCACACAAGTTGCACCTTAACCAGATTTTTGACACAAATAACCTTTAGGCAGCCTAAGCAAAAGCTGGACTCACAATAGAGAACATAGTCCATGTTGAGTTTAGATAAAGTGTCGAGGATACATTGAGATTAGGAAGTAAGCAAAAGGAGAAGACAAATCAGCTTGAAGTGAGTGAGAAGAATACTGTCCATACTGGCAATAAATAATATCACCCATTACACTTGGCTTACTTACAGGCTTCTCTCCTTCCTCGCTGTAACTATCTATTGAGGGTACTCTTTCAAACAGCAGAAACAAGTGGGCTGCTGATACCTTTGCTTTGGCATAATCAGGAGCAAAAGAGCTGCTTTGTCCTAATGCCATTGCACCAAATACAACAGCTGAAAACACTCTATAAAAAGAAATCAGGGGGGAAAAAATCAATAAAGAGACAATGAAGAAAAAGTCAATGGAAATGAGACTGCAGTCAACTTTTTCTCTTACACAGAGAAAAAAGAACGTTAAATTTAAAAAGAATAAAATAGTAACTATTACTGCTTTAATTACTCATTTAGCTCCAGAAATGTCTTTTTATTCTCTTTTAATCACATAAGATAAACAAGCCTCCATTCCAGATTCAATGTTTTCGTTACTTATTAGCACTTATTTCTTTAGTTATTAATACTGGTTAACTGTATTAAGTCTCAGCTGGGGCTAGGAAGAAAGTGGTGAATAGATGGTAAGATCGTTACTCTAATCCTGTTCTAACACTGCTGTGGCTTCCTCTCTATAGTTCAATGACCTCTGAAAGTTAGTGATTAATTTTTAAGGCATCAATGAAAATAAGAAATCAAGCATGTAATAAGGTGACAATAAAGATTTAATTTGCTATCACAGCTCTGCTGGAAAGAAACTGAAGGGTTCACAACACAAAAAAGAAGACTGAAAACTGTGCTATTGTTGGTTTATGGTGAATGTAGATGAATCTTTACAGGCTACATTAGAATGGTTTAAGAACCTGATGTACTCAGCTATTAATAACTGCCACACCACATAAGATTACTCATCACTGGGAAAGGGAAATTGACATATGAGAACTCTTAGCCTGTGTTAAGGCAAAGTGAAATAAGTTAATTTATTATTTTTATGTATTTTCTTTTGAGCTTTATAAACTAATCTGTTTTATTCTGCATTTGAAGAACTCTGAAGGGCTCACACAGTATTGGTCAGACAATCCCTTCCAAATATAACTGAGCCACTGGAAGAGCACTCACTGAGCTGACTAGAGATGTTCAGTTAGCAGCTGAGATGCAGACACTTTCTAATATCTAGTATCAGTCAAAATGAGCTGTGTTATTTACCTTTAATCAGCTTGCCAACAAAAAGAAATTGTGTTGATCAGCCTTTCTTAGGTATTGAGGTCAGTGATATCCATACTGGTAGAATCTCACTCTTTTCATACTTGTTTCCATGGGCCTGTATTGAGCTATTGCCTTTTAAATTACAAATTATATTTATTCTGAGTTTATGCACGATATAGAAGAATGGGACTTTGGTTATGATAGGGGCTCTTAGGTATTATGGCAAATGATCAGATAAACAGTGATTAGAAACCCAAAATAGAAAACTAAGAAGCTAAGTATAAGCTATAATTTTAAAATTATTCCTTTAACTTCTGTACAGTTTCCGCCCTTAAAAACCTATATAAAGTGCCCTCAGAGACAAATAATTGTACTATTCCTTTTATAATTTCAGATTGAAATGGATACACTTCCTAAGAATATTGTAAATCAGAATCATATTTTATTTGCAGCACCTGTCTAAATTAAAAATAAAATGCTCCACCTGACTATTGGTATGTGCAATACTCCACATACTGTTCTTACATTCATGGTTCATACTTTCATTTCCCATACAAAATTGCTTGATTTAAGTGAACAAGCTTCTTATCAGAATGTCATCTAAAATAATTCAGTTGTCCTTCCCTTTTAGTGAACAGCATCTCCTTTATGGAATCCCATTCTTCAATTATTTAACATGTATTTTAGAGAAGATTTCAAATTTCAATTAATAAACCTGACATAGAAATAACAAAGATGCTGATGACCTATTCTTTAAAAAGATTTTTAGAATATTATGCTACAATAAACAGGTACAACTATATTTTTTACAGAACATGCAGAGGACCTCACAGCTACATGAACAATAGGATTGTGGGAATAAACAAAGTGGCGTAAGTAGGATACTGTTTCAAACTCTGGAAAACATAACAGTCCCAAATAAATACAGAAAAAGAAATCCAAAATTAGGCCTATCTGAACAGCTCTGATTCTGTAGTCACCTAGAGTATCTACTTTGTAAAATGCTTTCATTATACTTAATTATAGAAGAAGAATTTGCCTGTTTTCTTATAGCTTACTCAATGGATTAATGATATCTCCAGCAGTAAACAAAGACGATTGCCTGGACTGACAGAAAAAATATTGCAAAAGAGATACTTACAAATATACACTTTTAAAGTCCATGTAACCATTTGCGACTAGATAGGCACCAAATCGGAAACAGCCAGCATAGGTAAAGAACATCATTGCTTGTGAAAGGGCGAAACAAAATCCAAATATATGTGCCTTCTTCACAGAATTTCTGTAAGAAAGGATGCATATTTTCGTAAAAATGTGCAACTATACTGAATTCCTGGTATGCAAAAAACAATTAATTGACTTTAGATAATACTGATACGGGTGGGAACTATACTCATACAACACGATCCATTGTCTCCTTTTAGACTGTGTCCAAGGAAAGTTTGATTTCCAGAATTTTATTTACTTCCAAGAACAGCTTGGAATATGGGTGCAGAAAAAGATGACTGCTCTGTGTAATTATTGTCTTACCATTACATAATTCGAGTGTTAAAACACTTTACAGTTCAGTCCATGATCACCACTTTGAAGATGTAAATAACACATCTGAAATGGTACTACTGCATCACTTAAGAGGGGAAAAAAAAAGAGCAGAACTCTTAGCTCACCTGCAGCTGAAGCCAAATTTTTGTATCTTTTTTTCTTTACTTGTAATTTTCTCTTGAACAAGTAACACATATGTTAAGCAGTTCAATACTACATACTTGAAAATCTGTTTCTTTTCAATGTAATCAGTCAAAATTCCTCTCTCAGATAAGATTAAGACTGCACGTATGAGGAAGAAATTAAATTTTGGATGATATAACTATGTCTATAACTAAAAGCAAGGCAAAGAGAAAATTTTCTGTAACTATGAATTATACCAGAAAAAAGAAAGAAAATATCTTAATGATATTGATGCTATTCATAGGTCACAACTGTATGGTTCGTTCTGGAAAAAACCCAAACCAATACGAACAGAAGCCAGATTCACAAGTGTGGGTTTTGTTGACTAAGAGGTGGTTGTGACTTCTAACAGACTTGTGCATTAATCCAGTAAAACAGAAGGCCTAAGCTCAATTTTTGTGAATTAGAATGTCATTGCTTAATCAGTGGTATAACATGCACTGAAACATTAACTGAAAAATCCATGTCTTACTTCTTCCAGAAAAATTGACCATAGGGCAGTAAGTTCTTATTTATATTAGAACAACATTAAGATGGACGTCTTGGAGCAATTCCATCAATGTCACCTTGAGAATGGTTAGGCGCTGTTCTGCATGTTGTGACATATGGACTCAAAACCCAGCAGGCTGAGAAAAAAGCTAAGTAATATCTTTTACGTCCTGCACTGTGCTCTAATTAGTTATCATGGTGAATGTATTAGCAGCACCCCTACTTGTCTCCCACTATATGTGTACATACACTGTCATTTCCTTTACTTTTCTCATGGATGTCTGGAAATGAAACATCTAATTCTGGAGGAAATAAAAATCTAATTGACAGTATCTTTTTAGTTTTTCACTTTTTAAATTTTGATTTAGCCCAGGCGGATTTTTATTCCTTTTTTTCTTTTAAGTCACGAATAGTGATTATTCCAATGTTTTCAATCTTATTCATATTTGGAAAAATGGATTAATGAAATATTCAATTTACATTTAAAATTTTTTAACTTAATATATAAAACACTTCAGGTAGGAGTTCAGATTAGCTGACTTTTGAAGCTCACTTAAAACTAACATTTTTTCAAAGTAAGTGACATCACAATAGAAGATACTCATCACAGAAAATTAACTAGATCAAAGAACAAAAATGTTGGCTCTTGGTTGCATTTGTTAATAAAAATACGCAAAATATTTAAATTAGTTCTGAGTTATTAAATTATACATTAAATCATACACAGTAACAAATAAATCCATGTTTGTTCAAGTAAATGTTTGTAATTTATTCTATTATTTAAGTACAGATTTTTTTTAGCTTAGTTATTGTTATTATACCTGTAAGGTACATGCAAATGTTCTCCATACATCAACTCAAATTTTCTTTCTTGGGTCAAACTAACAACAGTTCTAATATTTTCTATCGCTTCTGTGGCAATCTGCAATAAGAACACAAACATTTTAATCAAAAGTTAAGATATGTTGCAATTCTTTATCCTAAACTAATAAAAAGATTCTGCTAGAAAATAATTTTGTATTTTTTTGCAGCTGTTCTTAAAATAATTGACCTTTCATATCAAAAGTAAGTCTTTCACACTTTCATTTTTATGACAGGGAGATTTTCTGATGATGCTCAGGATTTTCTGGGAAGACCTCTCTAATGTCCTCCAAATAAGCAGTGAAAAACAGTAAAACAGCAGTTACATTTATGAAGAAGATATTCAGTAAGAAAAATGGCACTTTAGCATTCAACTTCCAGCCCAGTGACTTTGGGCTATAATAAAAAAGTCAAAGTTACTTCTGTGTTTAAAGCCTAATTTAGATCTCTGCAGTAAATGTTTGATCTGATCAATAATACCTTCTTCACACTTGCAGATTCTTTAGACTTCAGTCATTTGCATACAAAGGATCAAGCTGGGGAGCGGTTTGGGGTTTTTTTCCAAGGGACTGACAATGTTTTTTAACATGTTAAAACTTACAAAAATTCAATTTAAATATTATTTTCTATTTTAATTTTAGAAAGCATAGAATAGATATGCATCTATTTTACACAACATTATTACGGCATTTGGTGTGTTACATAGCTCATATTTTCCATAAAGCTCTTTAAGAATCAGTGTTTTGGAACACTGTGCTTCTCTAAAGCTAGTTCCTTGAACCCTCTCTGTTTCGAGCTCATGCCTGGAATTCAGCAAAGGCCTTGTTCTGCACAAAGCTTTCTGAACTGAGCACTTGCACAAAAAGAAGGAGAGAAGCTTCAGGGAGAAGCCCAAGCACTTTTAATAAGTTATTGTACTACAACAGGCCTGTTAGTCTCACTTCAGTGCTTGGTAAAATCATAGAGAAGGTTATTCTAGGAGTTACTGAAAACCCTTAAGAGACAATGCAGTCATTGGTCATAGCTAGTATAGGTTCATGAGGACAAAGTCCTGTTTAACTAACTTGACTTCCCTTTATGACAAGGTCACCTATATAGTTGACCAAGGGAAGGCAGTGTATGTGTGGGGCCTTATTTTAGCAAAGCTTTTGACACTGTCTCTTACACTGTCCTTCTAGACAAGATTTCCAGCATACAGCTAGACAAATCCATACTACGCTGGGTGAACAATTGGCTGACGGGTTGGGCTCAAAGTGTTACAGTAAACTGAGTTACCCAGTCACTACTGGGTTCACAAAGGCTCAATTTTAGGGCCAGTGCTCTTTAATGTTTTTATGAATTATCTGGATGCAGGAGTCAAATACACACTAAATAAGTTTAGTGATGCTACTAAATTAGGAGGAGTTGTGGACTCCCTCAAGGATAGAGAGGCCTTACAGAGAGATTTAAATAGACTAAAGACCTGGGCAGCATACCAACCATATGAAATTTAACAAGATCAAGTGCCACATTCTGCAGCTGGGACAGGATAATCCTGTTTACACATACAAATTAGGGGATAAGATAGAGCAGCCCCACAGAAATATTTGGAGGTTTGGGTTGATGGTAAATGGAATATGGGTCAGCAGTGTGCCCTGGCAGCCAAAAGACCAACCATGTCCTGGGGTGCATCAAGCACAGCATAGGTAGGCAGTCAAGGGAGGTGATTGTCCCACTCTACATTGCAGTGGTGAGGCCCGACCTTGAGTACTGTGTGTAGTTTTGGGCACAAGCTGTTGGAGCGTGTCCAGAGGAGAGTGACCAAAACAGTGAAAGGTCTCAAGGGCAGAACCTATGAGGAGCAGCTTAGGCCATTTTTTTTTTATCTTGGAGAAAAGAAGGCTGAGGGGTGACCTCATCACAGTACACAGCTTCTTCAAGGGGGGCAGTGGAGAGAGAGGTGCTCCAGAGAGCTCCAGAGAGGATCTCCTCTCTCTGGTGACCAGTGATAGGACACGAGGAAACAGAATGAAGCTGCATCTGTTCATATTGGATGTTAGGAAAATGTTCTTCACTGAGAGGGTGGTTGGTCACTGGAACAGGCTCCCCGGAGAAGTGGTCGTGACACCAAGCCTGTCAGAGTTCAAGGAGCGTCTGGATGACAGTCTTAGTCATATAGTTTAGTTTTAGATAGTCCTGTGAGAAGCTGGGAGTTAGAGCTTCCAGTATGAGATATTCTATGATTCTGATTCTATGAACAGAACGAAATTCTGTTCTGAAAATTGACCCTGCAAATTTTCATATAGGACACTGAAGTTACGGCAATTCACCACACAGTTCAAATGCCTACAGTTTAAAACAGAAAAAAAAAAATATCCTCCAAATCACAGACCTGAAAGCATTTTTCTTCACGAACTGTTACCAAAGATTTTTAAACTGTGGTACTGTTATCTTTGTTCTAAAATATAGGGATATAATTATCTTATAGCCTCAGTAGTGCTTGTGCCACTGTTTGAAAATTTGCACATAACTAATACGTTGATTTGAATGTAATGCACAATGTTAATGATTACAAAGAAATTAAACAGATTTTTTGCTTCTTAATTATATTGCCCCATCAATACTCAAAGGAGTAGTCATTTTTTCATTAGTAACATAGCTTCAGCAACCTTTTACAGAAAGCAAATTTTACAAATAGAACATCATATTCATTGAAGAAAACTGGGTTTTTTTTTAAATGGTCATTGAATAAAATGCCTGTAGTCTAGTGTAGTCTAGGTAAAATCACATTTTTTTGTAACTCTTGTGTTAATTCTTCACAATCTGCCACATTAGGAAAGGCTCTAGTGCCTATTCCAATAATTGTTAATTTTTTTCTGTTGCATCTTACAACAAAACAATATGAAATAAATGCTCAGTCATTATAAAGAAGAAACAGAAGAAATGTAGTCAGTTGAAAGGAAAGGAAATGCATCCTTTGGGTTGTATGAAAAAGCCCATGGACAGATCATTACACACAATTCCCTGTAGACTTGGAGGGACAAAGATGTTTTTCAGCACGTTTATCTACAGACATAATAGAAGGAAATAAAACCCATGTAGTAGATAGGAGTCACAGAGCGGGAGGTGGGGGAGGTGTCAAATCCAAATTAAGACATACAAATTTAGGTGTCTAAGGTACCAGTATAGTCAATGGATACCCATTCAACAGAACTAGAAAACAATTCAGTTGCCTGTGCATTATGTGCCTACCAGTCTCTTTCTGCAGGATCATTGACTGGAGAGGGAAGGACTCTAATTCTACTGTCCAGCTTGTGCCATTGGAGATGCTCTAGGATACTCAAGGTGTTTGGGTAAGGCATGGCAGCTATGACATAAAACACAGAGTAAATCCATATCCTTTTGAAATGGCAACTAGAGACCTCCCAGGGACTATTGCATCTCCAATAACTATAAGGGGACATTAGACTGCTAGCAAATATGCAGACACAAACATTTAAACACTAAATCTGAAGGTTAATGCAATTCCTTATGTGTATGGCCTTAGATAAATTATTTTTTTCTCAATAACTTTTAAAAAACAGTAGGACATAAGAAGGGATTTTAGAAAAATTTTACCCTGAAGAGATCAATATGTGGGAAGTGATGGAATACTTGTTCTGTCCCAGAAGGGTTTTTGGAATGAATTGACATTAAATGCCTTAATCTAATTTCTTAAACGAGAGTCTAGCCTTCTCAATTTTCAGTTCTTCCACTCAGGAAATAAAGGAATGGCAAACAGACCCAGCAAGCAGTGGATATATACATATTATCCCTGCAAACATTAGTAAGATGGAAGAGAAGGAAAAAAAAGAGCAGTATTATATATGTAAGACAAATGACATGCCAAAAAGGGATAACAGAAAAGAAAAAAGAGAATGTCAAATTGAAGAGGGTTGCAAACTAAGGAAAACAGAGATGATCAGAACAGGAAGGAGAAAATAATGTGCCTGAGTAGTGCTTAGCACATTCTAGGGTTTACCCAGAACAAGTATCAGTTAGTAACATTCAATTATTATTGAAGAAGTGTTATGCTCTGTAGGCCTACGAGTGTACCTACATAGAGTTTAGCTGTCTCTGGAAGTTATATATTATGATATGTTCTTGTATTTCAAAGTAATACATCCATCAACAATGCTTTGGTATATATGACTGTATACATTACAGAAATAAACTTCTCTAGACCTACCTTTCCTGCAGCTTCCAGTTCTTCTTTATCTTTTTTAGTATGGCCAGCCAACATCTTCATTTCAATCATTCCTGCCACTGCAATGACTGGCACAACGGCTAAAAGTAGCAGGGTCAGCTGCCAGCCATAAACTAGTGATATAATAATTCCAGTCCCCAGGTTAGCTGCGTTTTGGGCAATTAATGCCAATCTGACACCAGTTGCCTGGAGGAAGAAAAAAGACACTTCTTGCTAAAGTAACTGCATCTTAAATAAGGAAAGCATTTTCATCTATAATATCCCTGATTCTCAGGACACTATTTAGAAAGTCTTAGCTCAGTTTTGCTATTTTTCAAAATGGGAGTTTCTTAAATGATTGTGTAAAAAATAATCTAGATCACATTTAATTCTTCTCTCTCCATATTCTGCTTACTTAAATTTGCACTGTAATTTCTAAATTCTGCTCCTGAAGTTGAACAGGCTTTACCCATATCACATATTTACCTTTACAGGTGAATATTAAGATGTGTCAGATTTTGTAGATCATGCAGGTAGCTTTAGAAGTCATCACCCAATGAAGAATAAATTCAAATATTCAACTTCTACTATGGAAATAAGGCCAAAGATATGACAGAACTCCTCAGTTCAGCAAAAAAGCACATAACTTCAAGGAGCAGTAAAAATGTACTTAAGCACACACAAATAATTACATTAAGTGCTCTTTAGACTAATATTAGAGACCCCTGAAATCCACAAATTACTTCTAAAGAATCTCCAAAAAGTAACAAGGAGGAAGTCTATTGCTACTATGTTGATTTTTCTTTTTCATATAAAGAATCTATACAATCAAAAAAATAGTAGGAGATTTTAAACTGAACAAATTTAGATGTGTATCTTTAGGTAAACAAGATCTCTCTAAAAAGTCTTTTAGCTAAAGTGATTCCCAGTGAATTTGTTTAATAATGAAGATCACAATACAGCACAATAGTAAACTTTAAAAAAGATTTACTTGGAAAAGACTGTTAGCCAACCGGTCAAACCCAAGCTGCAACTTTACTGCATACTAGTCCAAATATGAAAATTCAAAACAAAATCTTACTTACTCCTTTCACTTGTGAGGCATCATTAGCAAGTCTTGTAGTTAATGCTCCAGTGCTATTTTTAGTATTATCAAACCAGCTCATGTCCTACAATAAGAAACATTTTTCTTAGGACCAGTTTTTGGACATTTCACATAAACCACAAAGTAAAACTGAGGTCTACCTAATATAACTGAGCTTACTGGCAGAAGAATATGTATCTGGCAGTCCACCTCTTCTGCATATTTAATTTGTTTAATCCCTTCATTGTACAGAGAATGTTTTTAGAAAAGAGTGAATGCTTGTGGATGGCCTGATGTGTACACTGTCACTGCTGAGAAGGAAGGAGAGTAGCCTGGGGGGTTCCCAGATCAAAAATTTACCCTCCTCCACTACTGCAGAAACTGCATCTGCTTGGAGAAGATGACTCTTCAGTCATACTCCTTCACAATTGCAAAGCTGTTTGAGGGTCAATTAATGTATGGCATTCTCAGGGTAAAAACTCCCAGTTCATTGCTTGTTTTGAAGAGGCTTATTTGGAAGCTGTAAGACAAACCAACCAACCAAACTGGTCTATCTGATCATTGTCAACTGCTGGGGTCAGGTACACTGTTTATAATTTATTCACCGTGTGACCAAATACCTGATTCAAGCTTTCATGTGTAATGCATACATCGAATGAAAACCTGGTGATGCAATGCAGGCATTTGTGACCTCAAGCCTCAATTGTGAGATTGCTCTTTCATTATTTTTTCAGTGAGGCTGGTCTACAAATCATAATTTTTCAGACTACAACTTCTTTTTGTCCGCACTGCGAATGGTCATGTTCACATGAATCAAATTCTGTGTCTATGTGTAGCTTTATGTGCAAGACACAAAACCACAGAAGTATTATATCGTGTATTTGAAAATCTAAAATACTGATCCTGAAATCATGCAAGATCAAGGCCAATTTACCACTATGAAATATTTATATTTTAATTCTCTGAAAGTGGCTTTAAATTTAAGTATGCAATCTCACTATTGTATTAATACACAACAATTATAGATTTAGGAACTCTTTGAAGGAGATCTTCAAGAAATAAATAAAAACATATCTGTACAAACCACAACTTAAATCAGACATTTGAACTAAGAGTTACAATGTAACCTGCATTGCCATTTTATTTCTTTAGGGGAAAAAGTGCACCAAGAAAGCAAAGCAGGCAAACAAACATGTAATGGGATATTGCTGGTGTACATCAACCTATCAGGCCATAGTAACTCGGCTGTAAATGTAAGTCGTTGCTAAGAGTACATAAAAAGCTCTTGTATTTGCATTGATTTAAGGCTCTCCCTCTACGGACACTTTGCTTAACCACATGTAACTAACAAAATTGCTTTCTAGATTGATTTAAAGAATATTCTTTGTAGGCAAGTCATAGTATGATAGAATAATGTAGAATACAGTTATTTTATGACATCTATGCAATTAATTATTTTTAAAACCCTAGAAATAAAAATATTTATTTTCTTTACCTGCCTAAGCATTGCTTTAAATGCCATGAATCGAAGCCTCATTGTAAGAATTTCTCCAGCTTTGCCAAATGTGAAACCCTAGTTGAGAAAAGGTACAATGCTTAGCATACTATTACATTGTTTGTGCTTATTCAATAAATATTTTAGATACATTGTCTCTACATTGTCAAAGTACAAAATACTGCAGTCCCGACTGCACTGAGCAAATATAAAAACAGGCTTAATATTCATAAATTCTAATAGGTTCACAGTACAACAAATAGTATTTATCAAAAAAATATGTAGAATATAGTGTTATTTCCCAGCATTGCTTCACCACCATACTTCGAGGAAAAGATCACTAATCACCCCTTTGACTTTATTTTTGTATGAGTTGATCGAAGTCAAATTTAAACAAGTGGCTTTTGGGCTGTTCATTTTAGATTAAAATATCATAAGGCAGTCTGGGTTCACTGAAGTCAAATGCAAATTTCCCATTGCCTCCAACAGTAAGATTTCTTCCCTGTGATCCTAACACAACCTGACATAGCAATCAGCAGTAATACATCAGCGATGTTTTATAATGACTTGTAGCCAAATATATGAATCAATTAAAAATATTAGAAAGGAAATATGCTGGTTAAAGTTTTGGGAAGATACACTCTTGCTACATTTTACTATGACATCAGGGTTTATAATAAGCTTTGTTTAGCACACTATCACCTTTATGTGATTACAAATATTAATTGTTTGGAATCTACTTTTGTGAAATTGAATACTGTTAAAATACAAACCACAGATGGAAGTGTACTATGTTATACTAAGAAAATTACCATGGCATATTCCAATTAGCAAATACTTCTCAGTTAACTTTGATCATTATCTTTGCTGTGGCAGTAAATTTGCACAGGTATGTTACTTAATAAAAAATCACAAAAGAACATCAGAGAATGAGCACTATATAAAGAAATTATAAGAATGGTTAATTTTTTTTTCATTCTCACTAATTTGGGGGTGTTCCATCTCAATAAACTCTTCCCACTCATATTTAAAATATTATATGAACATTTATAAATTCAGCAAACCTATCATAGCAATCTACAACTCAGTCTTCTATACTCAAGGCCTTCTTGAATGCATGTGCAACAAGACAATTACATAAATAAACAAAGTGGTTTTTTCAAGAGACTGTTTATGCTGCTGTCCCAAGTGCACTTCATTATTTCACTGTGTAGGCTCGTTCAATGGATAAAACCATACAAACATTCATAAATTATAAACCAGACTATAGATGAAAATGTTACATTGCTGAAGTTTGCTCTTGTATGATTACTACTTTACCATGGCACTGTTGGAGCAGTTAGATATATATAAGAATTAGAGAAAAGTCAAAAACTTTTATTTAAGAAATTGAGATGGCTATAGAGATCAGTGAGAGCAGGGTTTGAGGTATAACTGTTCAACCATTAGTATTTAAGCAGGAAGAGCTGAATATCAGCATGATGGAGTTTACTTGACCAACTGGGCCAGGGAATCTCGGGGCACACTCCCATAAGATAAGAATTGAATGGGGAAGGGGCTAGGAGAGTAAAAAATTGGAGAGCTTAAGGCAGGAGATTGGAAGATTTGAAATTATACCAGATTCAAACAGAAAGGCTTGAGAGTGAGAAAGGAGTAGTATAGTGTAAAGACTTGTGAGGCTGGCTGTTATGTAGCAACAGAAAAGAGTGAAAGAATCCAAAGTTTCATGCCAAGATGTATTTGGCTGGTGAAGAAGATGGGAAGTTCTGAAGTTAAGAGGTCAGAATGGATTGGAAGGTCTCTAACATATGAAAAGGTCTAGGTCAAAAAAGATATAGTTCAGCACAAGGCACATGTAGACCCATAAATGCGGGTTCTGGTTTGAGTTGGAGAAATTGTATTAATAAGATACAATTTTTTCATATATTTTAGATCTGTTTTCTAAAACATGATGAACAATCATAATAAAGCTAAAATAATAAAACATACCTGAAAAAAGAAAGTAAAAAAGGAAATGATCCCAAGTACTAAAAACAGCACTGAATATAAGTTGCTCTTTTCTCTTAAAACGCTCTTGTCAGTTTCTGAAAAGGTCTATAAAATAATAGTTAAAACAACATTTTATTTAATCAACTAATAATCTAAAATATTTCCAACTTTCTCAGTAACTATGTTTGGTAGTCATTTGCATTCATACAAAAAATTGAGCATGTGTTACATACGATTATAGGTGTAACTAGCAAATTTCAGGTTGTAGCAAGATTTTTAGTATTTTGTATATGTCATCTAATTCTTCAGATTTTTGTAATAGTGCTTCATCCATTCCTCAGCTTCATTATGCAATGACTGTTTAAGAGCCGTTTTTATTTGAAATAAATATTGTGGGCTTTATAGATTTTGCATATTTTATTCAAACTTACCCCTATAATTTCTGAAAATATGACTGCAAATGAAGCTTGTAAAACTCCATTGATAATAGCACATAAAGTTCCAGGTACAAAGTATGGCCATTCAGTTTTGTTCAACTTCATAATTTTCAGAAATGAGGCTGGAACTAATTCTTCATCCTAAAGAATGGGAATTCTGTTAGGACAAATGTATCTATTTATTTGGATAAATATAGAGAAAAAGGAAGATTTGTATAAATTTCCTAATCCCAGAATCTACTCAGAGGAATATTGGGCATATTGCTGTGTATAACCCATGACTAGATTAGTTCAAGTGATTGTTCATTAAGCAATTTATAGCAGCAAAGTATTTGTTGCAAATACGAATGCAATTGTATTTGTTCTATGGTTGGTTTTTCCTGTAAGGTTTGTTGTAAGAGTTGTATGTTGCACGCAATGTCCTGTTTCTGATCCAAAAATGAATGTTTAGACTATGTTATTATAGTATGCAAATACCTAGCCTAGTGAGAGGTTTCCCTGCCCATGGCAGGGGGATTGGAACTGGGTGATATTAAGGTCCTTTCCAACCCTAAGCATTCTATGATTCTATGATGCAGTGATTCTATGTAAGTATATTTCTTTTATAGCAAATTGATTTTCAAGAATAAGCTCATCTTTGTTACATTTTTTTAAGGCCCCATTTTATTTGTATAATCAGTTATGGTGATAATAACAAAACAAGATATTAATAGTATCAGTCAAAGGCCATTTGAATTATAAATTTCTCATTATTTTTCACCCCTATCAAATGTGTCCTTCATCTTGTACCTTTCTAGAGGAGGAGATTGAATTTAATTTTAACATACTTTGTTGAAAGGAATCAAAGTTCAATTACAGCTCTGCATTTACATACTTACAGGTGAACTCTTTTTCTCATCAGTATCCTCATTTTGTGCTCCGGGCTTTTTCATGCTTCTCCGAGTCGAATGTCTTCTCAATCCTCTTGTTAAGGATTCTTCAAATTCTGGTGCAGGGTCACTTTTTTTGACACTAAGGGCATTCTCATCTTTTTCTGATGATGGAACTTCAGCTTCTATTGACTAAAAGTGGGAAGAACAAGATTCTAAGATTTATTATGCATATGTTACTTTGAATTTTCAAAATTATGAGATAATCAAGATAAAAATAACTTTCATTATTTCATTGGAAAGATATATGGGGAAAACTATACCTAATGCTATAAAACAGATATAAAAATCTGTATTATATTTCAGTATGTCTCTATCTTCAGAGCTTGATTCATATATAAGAGTATCCCACCTCTCAAGAAAATACTTGTAGTATGTGGGGGTCAGGGGAGTGGAAGTAGCTTCTCTTTTTTATGGATTAACTTCTAACAAAGTTTTAAATTGAGTGTAAAAGTCATTTGCACTCATCTTGGGATCTTTTTCAATTATTTCTCAGTGCTTACGCTGTTTATTCATAAAGTGATAAAAAATTACCCCTTTTAGTACAGAACGCAATTCTTGACTTTGAATGTAATAAGGAAGTTCAGGGTGGAACAGGTCAAAAAAATATTTTGACTGAAAAATCAGAACAGTCTGGTAAAGAGCCCTATTTTTGGTCATAGTTTGCTAATCTCTTTGACAGAATAAATAAATATTTACCCAGTACTGAGATATTTAAGAGTAACTGGATTCAAAGTTGCCTTCAACTTGTATTTCTGTTTTTTCAGAAAATTTTTATTTCTTACTGCTTTTTGTACTACTAATAAAAATAACTTATTTTGTTTTCTCTCCCTTTTTTGTTCTTTTCTTTTCTTTTGGTTTTTTTTTTTGTTATATATTTCCTAATTTTACCCTTTATCACATTTTCTTGAATACAAAGTTACTTTGAATCTAAGGTGATCAAATGCATTCTTACAGTTATATTCTGAAGAAATGTTTTGATTAGCCTAGTTTAGTCTTTTCAGTCTGACGTACTGAGATGGCAGTTTCAGTTTCTTTAATGGGCATGGTGGTTATGCAGTAAAATACCAGTGACACAGAGGGCTACAGTTAAGCTCAGTTATAACCTAACTAGAGCAAAGGACATTGGAAAGTATCAAAGTATTTTGTTATTCACTTAATAACTAATACATTTCTGATATTTATATGCATTCTGATATTTATATGCATTTCCAACCTGGCTACATAACTTTAAAAGTGCATTCAGCATAGCTGGATTCTTTTTCTCTATTCCTCCTTTTTTTTTTTTTTTTTTTTTTTGGAAGAAATTCAGTATGAAGGATTATAATTAAACACCTTAAAATGCATGGTCTATTCCTTCAGTATCAGCTACTCTATTTTACCTTTTATCATCGGCTAACAAAAAGCAATGGAATAGCAAACTACTGGAGTCAGCTGCTCTACATTAACTGTATAAAAGGAAAACATAAAATAATCTCATAAATTTAAATCCCTAGAGGATTAAAAATGTACTGCTCTGGGTCTGAATAGGTCTGATATCAAAACTAATGGTCTTCTCTTTCAAGTGATTGCTCTCCTTTCGAAGTACAGATTTTTTGCTGTTAACAAAATACGCTGCAGAATTCCTAGTACTTCTGATAGCATACAGTAACTATGGGCATTGAATACAAAAAAGATAGTGAGGCAACAGCTAGCAAGAAAAGTACCTGCATGTTCACGAGTTTGTAGTAGATTCCTTTTCTCTCAAGCAATTTAAAATGATTCCCTTGTTCTGTGATAACTCCATCTTCGAAGACAGCTATAAGATCTGCATTTCGGACTGTTGACAGTCGATGAGCTACTACAATCGTGGTGCGCCCTTCCCTTGCCTAGAAATAACAATATTTAATATGAGTATTTCTAAGTATTTCTAAGTATATTAAAAACTGCTACTCTTCTTATTAGAGTTGACTAAGAGACAGGCTTTCACTGTGGCACGTAATACCATCAATTTTTGATCACAAATATCTAAACAAAATTCCTAATATTTTAATTTAAAATTTTAGAATGTTACAATGTTACAAACCTTTAAAGTTTTCAAATGCTAAATTTAAGCCCACAGCTGTTCAATTAAATCTTAAAATCTGTGGACAGTTTATACTCAGAAGCATTAGAAAATATTTCAGACTGACGTTTAAAATATGTCAGTGTTTTAAGTCATTGACAGCTCAAGTAGCTTCACTGAAAATAAAATTCTCTACAATTCCATGTGAAATTTCAACTATCTGTGGATGTTTATAAGCCTATCGCACATAATGTATCAAATGTCACAGCTTGCCATTTCAATTACTCGGCTGTATTAAAATGATCAAGCAACTTTTAGTTTAAATAATCAAAGTATTGATCCCAAACAGTGGAATTTTGTTTGAACCTGGATGGAGCTCATCCTCAGTGATGTCCCTTAAGTGTCCATACTGTGACCCATACTATTTAATATCTTTTTATTGACATAGACAAATGGGATTGAGTGCACTCTGAGCAAGTTTGTGGATGACACCAAGATGAGTGGTGCAGTTGATTTGCTTGAGGGAAGGGATGTCACCCAGAGAGACCTTGACAAGCTTGAGGTGTGGGCCCATGTGAACCTCACGAAGTTTGAGAAGGCCAAGTGCAAGGCCCTGCACCTGGGTCAGTGCAATCCTCAATATCAGTACAGAGTTGGGGATGAAGGGATTGAGAGCAGCCCTGCAGAGAAGGGCTGGGGAATACCGGTGGATGAAAAACTGGACGTGAGCCAACGATGTGTGCTAGCAGCCCAGGCGGCCAGCTGTATGCTGGGCTGCATCAAAAGAAGTGTGGCAAGCAGATTGAGGGAGGTGATTCTTCCCCTCTACTCTGCTCTTATGAGTCCTGACCTGTACTGTGTTCAGCTCTGAAGTCACCTGTACAAGAAAGACAGGGACCTCTTAGAGCAGGTCCTGAGGAGGGCCACAAAAATGATCAGAGGGATGAAAGACCTCTTACATGAAGACAGGCTGAGAGAGTCAGAGCTGTGCAGCCTGGAGAAGAGAAGGCTCCAGGGAGAACTTACTGTGGCCTTTCACTATATAAAGGGGACTTATAGTGTATGTGGAGAAAGGGACTGTAGTGAGAGGACAAGGGACAATGGTTTTGAATTGAAAGAAGGTAGACTTAGATTGGATATGAGGAAGAAATTTTTTATAGTGAGGGTGGTAAGACACTGGAACAGGTTGCCCAAAGAAGTTGTGTGTTCTGCACCATTGGAATTGTTCAAAGTCAGGCTGGACAGGGCTTTGAGCAACCTGGTCTAGTGAGAGATATCCCTGCCCATGGCAGTAGGGCTCAACTAGATGATCTTTAAAGGTTCCTTCCAACCCAAACCACTCTATGATTCTAGGAGTCCCTAGGTCTTCTGCAAAGGTTTGCGAGGATCCAAATTTATAAGATGATGTGACAAAGAAAAGCTAGACAAATAACTTCTCTACTAAATGTACTTACAATACATTCTCCTCAAACTGTCTTTATCCAACATCAGTGGGAAGCATTAGGGTACTCCAGCAGAATACAACTGAGAAAATTCAGAATGCCATTTGGGTGTATAGCCCCAGTATGAATATAGAGACTCCCAAGTTGTTGATCAAAGATCAGCTGTCCCTTAGTGAGACAGCTCAACATTAGGAACAAAACAAGAACCTAGAAGTATTTAAGTGAAGCAAATGTTTCCCTGGGGCATTTCCTGCCAAGTCACTGCTACGTTCACTTATGACATGATGGTAGCACTTACCTTGTCTGTCAGTCTTCAACATAAGTTAATTAAGTAGGTGACTAACAAAAATATGCATGTGATTAAGATAGGTAAGTGCAGGGGGCAGTATTTACACCAAGAAAATGTTGAATTAAGGTAAAAAATGCAGAAAATTTAATTCCATTTTCTTACTTGAAAGGAGATTCCTGTCTTCTAATACCTGCAGGACATCAAAAATTCTCTGTATAGCGAGTATTTGCCAAATCCAAGTTTACCTTTTATATTTTAAGGATCTCTATTTCTTGCAGCTCTTTCAACAAAATTTTCAGGAAAAAAGTAAATATTAGGCTTCTCCTTACCTGCTCCGTTTTAGAAGCCTACTGACCTTGTCCAGTGCTGCCTGCACAACTGCTTCACTCTCAGTATCCAAAGCTGATGTTGCCTCATCAAGCAGAAGAATTTTAGGATTGCGAACCAGAGCTCGGGCAATTGCTATTCTTTGCTTCTGGCCTCCGCTCAGCTGTGCCCCTCTTTCTCCAACCACAGTTTCAAACTTCTACAAGACAACCACACGCATTTCCAAAACACTCAGTGGCACGGTCCTTTCAACGGAGAAAGGCAGTGTAAAGAAAAGAGACATCAGTGTCAGGAGTCCCCACAGCTTCTTCTCTTTCCTCTAAAACACTACAGGATACACACCTCCTTGGATATACCTGTCTAATCATTTGTGTCCCTGGAATTCTAACAGTTCTTCAAATGCTCACCAAGTCATGACCTAAAGGTTTAAAAATAACATTATTCTCAGAAGTTATGAGGAAGCTCTGGGTAGCTCTGCATATTCAGAGCTTCAGGAATAGCTTCCTCTGTTTATGAGACTCCCTTCTAAGGAAGTGTTTGGCACAAGAACAATTAGGAGAAACTACTTG